CGTATGGCAGCTTTAAAACACTGGCGTAATATGTCTTCTGGAGTCAATAGAAAGAATTTGGCTTTCAGCAATGATGGAGGTGTGGCTGCTCCGTTCTCTCCTTTGCCTTACTACAGATGACCTCTGCAGTTTTCCAATACGGGTTTCACGATCAAGCAGTTTTTCTCTTATCCTATTTTTATTTATGTATTTAGAGTCTAGATCTTGCTCCGTTGCCCAGGCTGGAATGCAGTGCCACGATCATGGCTCACTGCAGCCTCAAACTCCTGGGCTCAAGTGATCTTCTCCCACCTCAGCCTCCCAAGTAGCTGAGACTACAGGTGCACATGATCATGTCTGGCTAAGTTTTTAAAACATTTTTTTGTAGACACAGGGTCTTACTGTGTTGCCCAGTCTGGTCTTGAACTCCAAGTCTCAAGGGATCTCCCCACCTCAACCTTCCAAAATGTTGGGACTACAAGCATGCACCATTACACCCAACTAAGTTATTTTAATTTTTTAAAGACAGGGTCTTGCTATGTTGCCCAGGCTGGTCTCAAACTCCTACCCACAAGTGATCCTCCTGCCCAGCTCTTATCCTTTTTGCGAAATTTACCAATGCATGGCAAACTAAAAAAAAAAAAAGTTTCTTTTTTTTTTAACTCAAATGCAAGTTTGAGCCAAACTATGTGTTCATTTTTAGTGCATACTGTAGTGCAGTAAATCAACTCCAGCGAACTCTGGTTGGCATGGGTATGTATTTCCAGTGGTCGAAGTTTACCTGCCTTCTAGTTTCCTGTTGATCATAAACCGAAACAGACCCCCATCCAGCCTCATGGAGTTTGCTCACCACTGATTTTTCTGAGCCACACCATTCCCTGGGATCTTTCCACCCTGGCTTTTCCCAGCTGTGGGATTTCTAATCTAATTTGTGGTATAAAAATGTTAATGTGATTGGTTAACCCAGCCTGTGTGGTTTTTGTTCCAAGGTACCACCTCAAGATTTTAAATCCTTTGCCTCAGATATTGAACATTTAATGCACGACTAAATTGTTGAGTCACAAACAAACAAAACGTGATTTCCCTGCAGAGGTGCGCCTTGAATTCCTATAATGCATCCTGTACATGTATCTTTCATGGCCCTAGAGGGTGGGTACACTTATTCCAGTGTGGGAGAATCTCAGATGATTAGCTATAACCTCAGTGTTTTGAAGGTGTGACTTTTGTGGGCACAGTCAGATAATTAATTAGATTTGAACAGACCGTGGGCCCAACTTCTGTCCTTGAAAATAATTGAAGCCCTTCCAAAAACCAAAAAAGGATTATTTACATCCTTTAGAACTTTAATCAAAAAACTTTAAAAACTGTTTCAATAATTCTTAAAATGTCAGTAATTGCCCTAGTTCTTCGTGCATAAAGGGATTTATTAAGACTTATTTTCCCATGACGACTTGAAATGGAAAAGTACGAGTTGAAAAAGAAGAACTGGAATAATTGGCTTTGATGAATTGAAGTTACTGCTCCCCATTGGAACTGTGGGTGCAGACAGTTTAGGGCAGCGGATGGACTCTGAAAATACAGTCAGCGAATTAACACATCATACTGTGAAAGCTACAAGCAGTCCTGGAGCTGGACAGCACTGCCCAGTAACTGGGTCATCCGAGGCTTAATTCTCTCATGGTTCCAGCACCAGGCACAGTGCTGTGGTTTTGTAGATAAGATCATGTACTCTGGGCCAAAATACAGGAAAGCCTCTCCCTGCATCAATCCACAGAGCAAACCCACCAGGGAGCCCGGGGCCTTGATGCCCAGCTCCTGATGCCTCAGCCAGAACCCCAGCCCAACCCAGAAAGCCTGCGCTCTCCCTTGGCAAATTGATAGGCTGTCTCTCTTGTCCTGGTGTGTGATTCCCTAGTTTCAGGAGAATAAACAAAACACTGAAACTTCCCAGCATTTTGTTATGATAATTATTTCTTGCAACAGGGTCTTGCTGTGTCACCCAGGCTAGAGTGCAGTGGTGCAATGGTAGCTCACTGTAACCTTGAACTCCTGGGTTTCACCGTTCCTCTCACCTCATGCCTGACTAATTTTTAAAGTTTTATTTATTTTTCTTTTTGTAGAGACAGGGCCTCACTATATTGCCCAGGCTGATGAAATTTCCCAGCTTTGTTAAGTAAGAATCAGGCAGCCTTCATCAGCCTGTGGAGAAAGCACCAGAGTAGGTAAAGAAAAATTCCTTAAAAGCAGATTTCACCTTCTGATTCTGTGATTGTCCCCAGAACATCTTTTCACGACCTATATCCATCCATGTTGAATTTCGGATAAAGGGTAAAGGAAAAAGCTTACTTTTCCAGTACAGGCTGGGCAACAGGTTTAAGACTATTAATTCAAAAGGAGTTGATTGGGAAGCAATCGTGGGCTCACAGGCTTGGTGGGAGCTGGAAGACAATCCTGTTCTCAGGGAACTTGGTCACCGCCTCATCTTAGGAACAACCGGTTGGAGATACAGCCAGATATCTTCCGTTTGACCTCTTCCCGCCATGGCCATCACTGCCTGTGGATGCCCTGCCATCCTTGTGTGCAGATGCTCTGCCGTCTTTAAGATCCAAGGTCCAGCCGGGCGCAGTGGCTCAAGCCTGTAATCCCAGCACTTTGGGAGGCTGAGACGGGCGGATCACGAGGTCAGGAGATCGAGACCATCCTGGCTAACCCGGTGAAACCCCGTCTCTACTAAAAAATACAAAAAAAAAACCTAGCCGGGCGAGGTGGCGGGCGCCTGTAGTCCCAGCTACTCGGGAGGCTGAGGCAGGAGAATGGCGTGAACCCGGGAGGCGGAGCTTGCAGTGAGCCGAGATCTGGCCACTGCACTCCAGCCTGGGCAGCAGAGCAAGACTCCGTCTCAAAAAAAAAAAAAAAAAAATCCAAGGTCTGGGCACTGGACTGGACCTGAAATTGGCCGAGTATGAGTCACAGGCCCCGGTCCTCAGCATCCCAGAGAGGGAGGATTGGCCTCTCCAGCTTCCACAGAGGCCAGGGGGACAGCGGGGGACAGTGGGAGACAATCTGAAGTTACCTCTGTGCCAAGACCACCCGATAGGGGACAGGTCCCTGCTCCTGAGGACTGAGGTGCCCCTGCAAGGGGGTGCAGCAGCCAGACAGCCAGACCCAACAATGGCCCCTGTCTGGCTGGGAAAGCCAAGGGACACCATGATTAGGCTTCAAGAGCCCAGCCCATAAGGATCCCTCCCTCTTCCGAACTCCTCAAGCATCTACAGTGGCCCTCACTCAGCTGTCACATCCCAAAATGTGCCCAGGGTTCCCGAGTACCTCCCAGCGAGATGCTAAGCTTCCTACAGTGATCTCCAAGAAAACCTGCACAGTGCCAGGAACATAACAATTACTTAAAACATGTGTGTTGACTGCGAATATGAAACCAATGACACATGTGAAATTGCATTGCACGGCGCTCTGGAAAACCCAGCACCGTGTTTGGGGAGAAGTCCGGGAGTGGAGCAAACCCGTGTCCTCATCTGAGATCCGTGTGACCTTGGTCAGTTATTTCTTCTTTCTGGGTCCCAACTTTTTCGTCTGTGGATGGTAATATTTACCTTGAAGTGTTGTTGGCAAATCTTAGATAATTTAGGCAAAAATGCCTGGCACATATCAAGCGTTTAATACACAGTTTAATAATTATAATCAGATGTGGACTTTTTCATATGATCTTCCTCCATCAGACACTTCATGCCATGATTAAAGACAAATGTGTCTTTAAGTTCTTTAGAGAAACTGATTAACCCCAAATTTGCTTTATATCATAGGCTATGTAAATATTGCAGACATAATTTTTTAAATGTCCAGGATTTGTATAACTTCATATTAGAAAACTCATATTTCTTAATAATTTGTTTTAAATGATATTATGGAAAAAGATAGCACGACTTGACCCTCTGTCTGGAAAATCTGTTTCATCCTTTTGGAGAACAGCAAAAACTGTTTATTCTGTAGAGGTGGGGTCTTGCTCTGTTGCCCAGGCTGCTGGAGAGCAATTGTGCAATCATAGCTCTTCTGGTCTCAGAGATCCTCCCACCTCAGCCTCCTGAGTAGCTGGTACTACAGGCAGGTGCCACCACGCCCAGCTAATTTTTAAAAAATTATTTTGCAGAGACAGCGTAAGACTTTTTAATCAAGGCTTTTAGTTTGATTTGAGGCAAAAAGATTAAAAGTCTTGGTACTTGGTTAATTAAGGTACTGACTTTTTAAACTGCCAACAAGTATCTATGGAGTGCTCACTGCATGCAAGGCACAGTCCTAAGCATTTAGTATGAACCAGGCATAAAAGAGAGGAAGCGCCCTGCCTTCCTGGGGTCCCATTCTAGCAGGGGAAACAGACCACAAACAATAGAAAACAGAGGTAAGCTGGACACCGTGTTATTTTTATTATTTTTTGCATTAACTAACTTATAATAATTGCACATATGTATGAGGAACAGTGTGATATTTCAGTACATATATGCATTGTGTAATAATCAAATTAGGATATCTAGCATATTTGTCACCTCATACATTTATCATTTCTTTGTGGTGAGAGCATTCAAAATTCTCTTTTCTAGTTATTTTGAAATATACAATACAATGTTGCTAAGCAAATGTAATCATCCTACTGTGCAATAGATCACCAATAGATAGGAGAACTTATTCCTCCTATCTAACTGTAACTTCGTATCAATCTCTTCCTATTTCCCCCACTCCCTGCCCCCTGCTTCTCTGGTTATCACTATTCTACTCTCTACTTCTATGAGATCAACTATTTTTTTGAGACACAGTCTAGCTCTGTTGCCCAGGCTGGAGTGCAGTGGCATGATCTCAGCTCCCTGCAACCTCTGCCTTCCAGACTGAAGCAATTCTCCTGCCTCAGCCTCCTGAGTAGCTGGGACTACAGGCACACTCCACTGCAGCTGGCTAATTTTTGTATTTTTCGTAGACACGGGTTTCACCATGTTGTTCCAGCTGGTCTCAAACTCCTGTGCTCAGGTGATCTGCCTGCCTTGGCCTCCCAAAATGCTGGGATTACAGACATGAGCCACAGCGCCTGGCCACGTCAACTTTTTTAGGCTCCACATGTGAGTAAGGTCGCATAGACTTTGTCTTTCTGTGCCTGGCTTATTTCATTTAACATAAGGTCCTCAAAGTTCATCCATGTTGCTGCAAATAACAAGATTTCATTCTTTTTTAAGGCTGAATAGTATTCCACTGTGTATATATACCACATTTTCTTTATCTGTCCATCCATTGATGGACACCTAGGTTGATTCCATATCTCGGCTATTGTGAATAATGCTGTAATAAACAAAAGGTACAGAAATCTCTTTGACATACCGATTTCATTTCCTTTGGATCTGTACCCTCTGGTGGGATTGTTGGATCTTATGGTAGTGCTATTTTTCATTTGTTGAGGAACCTCCACGCTGTTTTCTATTATTTCTGACTAATTTACACTCCCACTAGCAGTGCATGCTGTGTTAAAAGGTGGTAAGTATCGTGAGGGTGGAAAGTGGAGGAGGTTAAAGAGGAACAGGCGTGGGATAAAGTACATTTTCAATAGCGTGGCCAAGGCCACAGTGAGAAGGCCATATGGAACCAAAGACTTACAGAGTCCAATATGAATAGGATCAAAGCCCCCAAAATGGGCCATGAGATTGGACTATCTAGAATGGCTTTCTAGAGATGTCGTATTACTCTGAAAACTGCCAAATTCACTTTTTTCTCCTACCACAGGTATAATCACAGTCACTCCCTCCGGAAATGTCTCCTCCCCTCCTCTCCACCTTCTCTTTGAGGATTATATATAGGATTTGTGCTCACAGAGGCAGCTACACTCCTACAAAGGAAAACATTAAGTTCCTTTCTCTTGACAAGAGATGTGTTCCTGCGGGGAGAATTTTATTGTAACTGAAATTTAAGTAAAACTCACCGAAATGACATGCTTAGTGAATTATCTTTTAAAAGGGGCCTCTCAGTCCAAAGCACGTGCAAACAAGAGCCAGTGGGATCCACCCGAGAGTAGAGTGTGTTCTCCTGTGCATGGATTTAGTAACAGCCACACTTATTTCCAAAAACTCACATGAGATCTGCCAGGAGTTTGCTCTCCTTAGAGGGAAGGGAAAAAGAGGCACTGGCATATGAGGAAATCCTCACCTTCAATTACTGTGATATTCATCAAGCCAAGATTGTCATTAAAAACACACACACACACACACACACACACACACAAACACAAAAGAAAACTGTTTTTGATACAGAATTCTCCTGGAATCACATGAGGTACACAGATGCCAAATCTTGTTAAGAGTGCCAAGGGTGACTCTCCAGTGAGCTCAGTTTCTTTTCTTTCTTTTTTTTCCCCCCTCTCATTTTTCATCCAAAGCTGCATCTCTGAGCGCTCAGCTCTGCCCCGTGGGAGAAGGAAGAGGAGTTGTTGGCGTTGCTTTTGATTATGGGTTTCCATGGTATCCGGGAAGAGAGAGGAGAAGGGAGGGGCTTGGGAAAGGCAACTGTAGACTCGGCCAGCTCTGGGACACCTCATGCCCAAATTCTCCTAAAAAATCAGCTGGGAATAAGAAAACCATATCCTTAAGAAGAATCCATGGTGTAAATTAGTTTTGGATTCCTAAGGGATGAAGACCATATCTGGGTACGTTTGTTGGGTCTATTTCTATCTTGTTTACCCAAGTTGTTTTCTCTCTTGAATTCTTTCTTCTCAATTCCATAATGAAAAGTAGTCTCTTATCAAAGCTCCTTTTTCTAAAAATAGTCAATTTAATGTTCCTCTGACCATGGAAAATGTAGTCTCTTGGGGGAAATTTTCAGAACTGTTGATGAGGAGCTGAATTAGAAATGCTGTCAGCAGCAAGGAGAGAATCATGCTGATTTGACCTCTTGGTCACCTGCCTGGCAAGGACCTGACAAGATGGATATTTGCATTGTACTGACAAAAGCATTTCTTGTTTAATGAGTTGCAAATCAGTATCAGGCTTGTTTGAGGTGCTCTTTTTCTCTTTCTTTCTTTCTTTCTTTTTTTTTTTTTTTGAAACAGAGTTTTGCTCTATAGCCCAGCATGGAGTACAAGGGCATGATCATAGCTCGCTGCAGCCTCAAACTCCTGGGCTCAAGTGATCCTCCTGCCTCAGCCTCCTGAGTAGCTGAGACTACAGGTGTGCGCCACTGTGCCTGGCTAATTTTTTCTTTTTTCTTTTTTTTTTTAGAGACAGAGCTCTCACTATATTGCCCAGGCTCATCTCGAACTCCTGTCTCAAGCAATCCTTCCACCTCAGCCTCTCAAAATGCTGGGATTATAGGCATGAGCCACTGCACCCAGCCTTGTTTATTTTTCTTTCAATGAACTAATAAGTGCCCAGCTCTGAAATTTCACAAGGCTAGCACCCAGATCAAGGAACAGAGGTCCCCTTGTGACTCCTATCCCAGTCTCCACCCTCCCCGCCCCCTAAACACCATGAAGTAGTTTTGCCTGTTTGATATAAAACCTGATATAAATGCAATTCCATGGAATGTGCAGATGGTCCTCTTTCGTATCTGGCTCCTGTCATTCCACATTATGTTCATGAGATTCACCTATGTTGGGAGTAGCAAAAGATAACTCACTTTTGCTACTTCATACAATTCTATTGTGTGAATATCCCAAGATTTATCCATTGGAGACATGTGGTTAGTTTCCAATTTGGGCTATTATGAACATCTCCATGAACATTGTCCTATGTCTTCTGATGTGCATGTGTGCATTTGTGTTGCGTATACACCTAGGAATTGAATCCGTAGGTTACACAATGTGTGTCTGTTCAGCTTTTGTGTTGCCCAACCATTTCCCAAAGTGGTTCTATCAACTTACACTCAAAGCATATGAGACATTCAGTCACCCCATGTTCTGGGCTGAATTGTGGCCCCCCAAATTCACATGTTGAAGTCCTAGCCCCTACTACCTTAGAATGTGATTGTATATGGAAATAGGGCCTTTAAAAAGATAATTAAGATTAAATGAGGTTATCAGGGTGGACCCTAATCCAAGATGACTAGTGTCCATATAAGAAGAGATCAGGACACAGACACACACAGAGGGAAGACTCTGTGAAGACACTGGAAGTAGACGGCCATCTTCAAGCCAACGAGAGAGGCCGTCAGAAGAGACCAACCCTGCTGACACCCTGATGGACTTCCAGCCTCCAGGACTGTGAAGAAACACATTTCCATTGTTTAAGCCACCCAATCTGTGATACTTTGTTATGCCCGCAGATCTTAAAAACGTTAAAAAGATAAGAAGAGGATATGACAAACAATGACACTCTTACACCAATGAATTTGAAAATTCAGATGAAACTTAGAAAAAAACACAACCTACCAAAGTAGAAACATCTGAATAATCTCATTACTCAATTTACTCAATTGTTTAAATTGAATTTATGATTTAACACCTTCCCACAAAGAAAACTCAAGTCCAGGTGGCTTCACTGGTGGATTCTATCCAACATTCCAGGAGGATAAATATTTGCTTTTCCAGGGACCGCTAAAAGAGGGAGCACCTCTCAACTTGTGTGAGGACAGAATGACCTTTATCCCCAAACCAAGAAGGATATTGTAAGAAAAGAAAATTATTAGCCCATCTCTCCCATGAACATAGATGTAAAAATTCTAAAAATGCACACACACACACACAAATTAACTAGGCATGGTGGTACACACCTGTAGTCCCAGCTACTTGGGAGGCTGAGGAAGGAAGAGCCCAGGAGTTTGAGGCTGCAGTGAGCTATGATTGGGCCACTGCCCTCCAGCCTGAGAAGCAGAGTGAGACACTGTCTTAAAAAAAAAAAAAAAAAAAAAAGTCCGGATTTTAAACAGATTATTGGACTGGTGGTTCCTATCCATCAGCTCATTCAACTTTAGCACCTGCCTCATCCCCAGTAGCTGTTCCAGAACTCCTGTCTTCCCCATGAAGCTCCATGTGTTTTCCCAATTCAAACTTGGGCTTCTTCCCCATTTTTACTTTACTGATGAAGACATCACAAGGAAGATACACAGATTGGCGAGTCTTTCCTATATCTTTTTCTAATGCCGTCCAGAATCCATTTATTGACCACTTCATTCAAACCACTCGTCTGCACCTCTTGGGTCATGATTTCCATCATCTTCTTCCAGACTTGGCAAACCTGTTGGTGCTAAGTATAAGAGGGCTTCCGTATCTGATTGTTGCATTTTTTTAGTAAAACCAACACAAAACACACAAAGCAAATAACCATTGATAGTTTTGACATCAACATGAGCTTTAATCATGGTCTGCCACTTTGAACACATCTTGTCACAGGTAAGATCCACGCCCTGGAAGTTAGGCAGGCAGTTTTTGCCCTGAACATCTTCAGTAATCAGCTTAAATTTTCTAAGTGCAACTTCATCACTCTGCAGATCAACAAGGCTCACTTCAAACACATGACCCTTAAGGCCATCTGATGCAATTTTGATTCACTGAGTTCTGGTGACTAGCGTCTTTCAAATATTTCTTATATTGAATATAACAGGAGCTTTCACACTTTCACATCATACCAATCTTTCTTTCGCTCTTTCTTTCTTTCTCTTTCTTTCTTCCTTCCTTTCTTTCTCTCTCTCTTTCCTTCCTTCCTTTCTTCCTTCTTTTCTCTCTCTTTCCTTCCTTCCTTCCTTCTTTCTTTCTTTTTTTCTTTCTTTCTTCCTTTCTTTCTTTCTTTCTTTCTTTTTCTTTCTTTCTCCCTCTCTTTCTCTCTTTCTTCCTTCCTTCCTTCCTCTTCCTTTTCCTTTCCCTCCCTCCCTCCCTCCCTTCCTGCCTGCCTCCCTGCCTTCCTGTCTTCCTTCCTTTTCTCAGAGTCTCCCTGCATCACGAAGGCTGGAGTGCAATGTTGTGATCATAGCTCACTGCAACCTTGACCTTCTGGGCTTGAGAGGTCCTTCCACCTCAGTCTCCCAAGTAGTTGGGACCACAGGCATGCACCACCACACCCTGCTATTTATTTGTCTGCTTGTTTGTCTGTTTGTTTATGTATGTATTTACTTACTTTTTTAAAACACAGGGTCTCACTTTGTTACCCAGGCTGGTCTCAAACTACTGGCCTTGAACCATACTCCTGCCTCGGCCGCCCAAAGTGCTGGGATTACAGGTGTGAGCCACCACACCCAGCCCCCCAATCTTTCTTGGAAAATGGATGAGCCACTTGCTTCTTGGCTTCCTTTTTGCTGCCTGTTCTTGCCGACCACCATGGCGCTGCTCAGAGAGCCAAAAGTCAGTTTAGAATTATTGTATCTTCCTGGTGATTGACTCTTTTCTCATTACCCCTCTTTAGCCCTAGTCATAACTTCCTTAATGCTTTCTGTCTTAGCCTTGTTCTGTCTTATCTGACTATAACTGCACATCTACTTTGTTTGGGTCGATGTCTGAAGTGTCTACATTTTCCTATAGTTTTGTTTTTAGTTTTTCTATTTCTTTATATTTAATGTGTGTCTCTTGTAAGCAGTGTTTAGTTGGATTGTGTTTTTTATTCAATCTGATAATTGTATTTTAATTGGAATAGTTGATCTTTTTATATTTAATGCAATTAGTGACACATAAGATTAAAATCTATCGTCAGTCCATTCTTCTCTCTTCATTGTTTTAACTCTTTTATCTTCATTTCGATTATTCAAGTCATTTTTTTTTTAATTCCTCCTCTGTAGCCCAGGCTGGAGTGCAGTGGTGTGGTCATAGCTCACGGCAGTCTCAAACTCCTAGGCTCAAGGGATTCTCTCTCCTCAGCCACCCGAATAACTAAGACTACAAGTATGTGCCACAGTGCTGGGTTAATTTTTTAAATGTTTTATAGAGATGAAGTCTCATCATGTTGCCCAGGCTAGTCTCAAACTTCTAGACCCAAGTGATCCTCCTGCTTTGACCTCCCAAAGCATTGGGA